GGACCCGAGATTGAGGAAGACATATACCACCCATAGGGGTGAGAGAGGATATAAGTTATATATAGAGAAAAATGTTATATATATATGTATATATATAAAGTTAACAAACAGACTAAAGTCAGCCAATCAAAAGGGGATTGTATTTGCCTGGCTGACATTAAAGGCAACTAATTTTCTTTGGTTCAGTAAGAACTGAAACAAATTCTTGTGAAACTCTCAGTGGGATTTGTCAGTATGAATGCAAAATACACAATTGGGTAGAGAACAAAGCTTTGTATGTAGAATGAACAGCAGTAATCTAGTTAACATTAGTCTGTCTTTCTAGAGGTGCTGTATATAAAATAAGTATCTACCTTTCCTTGTTAAGACAAGACTGTCAAGAGAAATTGTACAGCCAGTAAGATTACAAATGGAAGAAGTTGCTTTAAATAACACAATGAGATGTTTGATGTTTCTAAGAGAAGTAGCTGAGGATTCTGAGGGGAATGTGTTATGGTGGTGTCCCAGTCTCTAGCCACAAGCATTTTCCATAATAACTTTTTCCCAGTTTAAAATGATCTCAGGGGGTGGGGAAGAACATTCAGCTCTGTCAAATACTCAAAAGGGGTATTGACACAAATGAATTACGGCAGCTTTGTTAGTTGACAAGTACTTGTGTACAAGGGCTGCTTCCTATGTCTTCTTTTACTGGATCAGGAAGAGCCAGATAAAAGCCCACCCTCACCCATGAAGGTTACCGAGTGACTCTGAGCCACCCATACATTCTCAGCCTAACCTATCTTCATAGAGTAGCTGTTGTGGGGATAAAATAGGGGAGCCTCCCCCCGCTCAGCCTCTCAGAGAAAATATTACATTTATCCTGACCATCTCCTATGAGCTGAAGAGGGTAAAAGACAATAACCTTTGAGCTGAACTTGAATCCTGGTGACTATGAACATGTCCACATAGTTTTCTTGGTACCAATATAGAAAAAGTTTGCTATTGCCTTCTCCTGGGACTGTCATATTTATTCCCTGAAGGGCTTCCATCCAAGTACTAACCACATATTTGTCTGGCTTCTGAGCTCAGACATGGTTGTTAGGTGCTGCCACCTGCTGAAACTATACATAGGAGTCTCTCCTTATTTTATCCCCAGAAAACCTGAGAAATGGAGAGTGATCCAAAGTCATCAGTGAGCCCCATGTTTGAAAGGGACCTTCTTACCTGGATCTCCTCAGTCCACTAAAGCAGTGTTGTCCAAACTTGGCACTTTAAGATGAGTGGACTTCAACTCCCAGAATTCCCCAGCCAGCCATTCCCCAGCTGGCTGGGGAATTCTGGGAGTTGAAGTCCACTCATCTTAAAGTGGCCAAGTTTGGACAACACTGCACTAAAGGAACCTGGCCCTTCCCAGCCACAGTCCAACCCTGTGAGCAGTGCACTCTGCTGCTTTTTTGTAATCCTTACAACAGTTCTATTAAGTTGGATATGTATTACTTTGCCATATTTTGCGCACGGGAGCAGGATCCAGGTCAGAGCAGAAAAAGCAGAGTTCCTTTGGCTCTTCTAGAGAGTCCATGGCACAGGCACCCTCCCTCCCCGTGCTCCGTGTTCTAATTCCTCATAAAACCTCCTCCCAGAGCTGCTATTTGCCAGTGTGGAAAGCAGATCTCCCACTGATCTTCCTTTAGCATAGTTAGAAATTATTGTAACTATGATGTAAATCAGGGAAATCTGTGTCTAAGAAGCAAGCTTTCTAAAGTTATCATCTACAAAACTTTTTTCCTTCCTACACAAATTCTTTTTTCACTTTCATTGAATATTACTTGCAAAGGAAGACTCCTTCATTCCCTAAGATCATGTCAAGTATGTCATCCTGCAGTTGCCTTTTTATGCTGCCCAAAAAGGCCCTTCTTGTCTTTATTACGAAGACTAATATTATCTAAACTGTTCTTGTGCAAAGGTCTCTGCAAGAGGAGGAGAAGCACATGAGGATCTGAGCCTCACTTTATTCCCAACAGTGATGTTCTGGGATGAAAGCACAGTTGCTCACCTTGCATCTGGATCAAATTGAGTAGTTTGCAAATTTTAGGGGTCACTTCTGATGTAGCACTCTATACTTGGATGCTATCTACAATGAGAGGCCTGCCTAGAGGTCTCTTTGAGTGGATCCTGCTTTATTTTCCCAAGCCTTTACATTATGAGCATTTGAATCCACTGAAAATTATAGATCAAATCTTTATTTTTAGTGAAGCTTTTCTATGCTACTTTATCCTCTGCTCCTGCACATTGTTAACATCATTATTTGTAATTATTTTTAGTTAATATTATATTTTTGAAAGGCCCTAGATATGATGGAACAGCATATAAACGTGATTACCAAATCATGCATGAAGCCTATGGAGTTGTGGCAGCTGTACTTGTGCATTACCTCTTAGTGAAATCCTTGAAGCACAGCCGCAGCTTGTTGTGGTGCCGATAGAGCTTGGGGTCATCAGGGATCTCAGCCAAAAATACCTGTGCCACCTCCAGAGGACCCTGGAACAAAAAGGGCATGGAGATGAGGTGTGGTAAGAAGGCTTGACTGGAGTCAGTGTCTGGGACAGGAGTGGAAAGTTTTCCTTCCCTTGCCATTTAATCTGTACCAAACTTAATTTTAGGCCAGTCATTTACTCTTAGATATCATTATTTTCATTTAATTATCAAGCTGGATGTTGCCTCAATCACTGGAGTATCTCTAGAAGGCTTACACATTAAAGTTAAAAAAAAAACAAGAACCAAGAAAACAATAATACATACAGCACATTGAGGAAAGAATACACGAAACTCAATCAGTCTTAAAACCAAGATGCTTTATCAGAGAGCTGACCACCTCATTCTACCACAGGGCCTACTGAAAGAGGCACATTTCCTCAGCTTTATGAAAATACAGCAGGAGTGGGGCCATATGGACCTCAGAGAAAATGTTGATCCACAGGGCAGGCACAGCTATAGAGAAGGCATGTCTCCTAGGAACTCTAAATGACGGTACTTTACAACTGGGACCTGGAGTTCATCAATTCTATTTGGTCTTACTGGCTGGGCAGAAATGACAGGCCTCAGAAGAAAGGCAGTCCTGCAGGTAATTGGAACCTAAGCCTCAAAGGCCTAAAATCAACACTCTGAATTGTACCTGGAAGCCCACTGGTAGCCAGTGCAACTCATGGAGCAGAGATGTACAGCAATGTTCAGATGCATTTTGAATCAGTTGTACCTTCCAAGTGGTATAAAGGGGAGCCCCAAAACAGTGCTGGGAAGTGACTAAAGCTTGAGTGACTGTGAGACTGGCCTCTTCATCCAGAAAAGGTCATAATTGGCACACAGAGTGGATTTGTGCGAAGGCCCTCCTGGCCATGGTTGCCACCTGCTTGTGGAGCAGGAGCTGAGAGTCCAGGTGGACCCCCAAATAATGAACAATTTCCACCTGGCGAAGTGCAACCCTATCAACAACTATATTGATAGTATATTCCTGGGACCAGAAGGACCTTGAGACCAAAGCCACTTGATCTTGCTAAGAATGAGCCTAAGCCTGTTCCTCCCCATCCAGGCCTTTAGAGTCTCCAGGCACTGGAAGAGGACCTCCCAAACATCACCTGTTCGGCCAGTGGGTGAGATGTAAAGTTGGGTATCATTTAGATACTGATAATATTTAACTTTGTCCCAGTGGTTGATTTCACCCAGTAGCTTCATGTAGATGTTGAACGGGAATGAGGAGAGTGTTGAGTCCTGCGGAACCCTGTGCAGCAAGGGCTTTGCTATCAACACCGACTGGAATCAGCCACAGAAGAAAGAAGGGAACCATTACAGGACAGTGCCCCCCATTCCCAACCCTCAGGAGCAACTGAGAATGATACTGAACATTGCTGACAGATCAAGCAGGACCACCCTTATATCTGGAGTCTGGTACTGTAACACCTTTTAAGACTAACAAATTTTATTAAAAGGCATATGCTTTCCTGAACTGTAGGTAGCTTCATCAGATTCATGGAGTGGCTCAGAAGATCTCAATGAACACAATGGGTTTTTAACACATTACAATTTTTAATTGGTAAGGCACTTGTGATCTGTCTGAGATGTAACCTGCATCTATATATCCACCTTGCTCCCCCTGCCTCATCCTGCACCCTGCCTACATCAGTCTAGCCACTCCATTGCAACTGATGAAGTGAGCTATAATTTATGAAAGCTTATTTCTTTTGATCAGATTTGTTGATCTGAAAAGGTGCTACTAGGCTCCTCCTTTTTTATTTTTTTGGGCTACCATACACATACACATACACATATACATACATATACACATACACAGCTCTCCTTCGACAACCCCTGTACAGGTTCTGCCAGAGGTCACTGACAAACACAGTCAATGCTGTCTCAGTGCTATCCACACCCCAGGGTCCTCTGCAGTTGCTGCATCACATATTCATCATTATTTAACATGCTTCCTCCATTTTGCAACATCTTTGTTCTTCAACTCTCTGCCAGGAGGATTCAATTCTGTTCTCCCAGCAACTTTGCTAGCCAGGCCTGAAGCCTCTTTTGCCTGCAATAAAACAGTTCTTCTCATTCCTTGGTTGGGTACCTGGTTGACTATGGTTCCAACACATCCCTGAAGCACCATCTGCAGCATCTTGGCATCAGCTGGGTCCTGGTGGGTGGCAAAAGTCAATTCCTGAGTCTTCTTCTGCATGTCCTCTATGGCTACTTCAATAGGAATCAGAATGATCTGGAGACACAGACAAGCCAATGCAAACAAAACAAAACTGTCAGGAGATGATCTCCTTATGCTTAAAACGATGTGTATAAATGCAAAGAATGATACAAAACTCCAGTCCCAATCCAAATTTTGCATCAGGAAAAAACGGATTCATGTGCTCTGTGTATGTTATATAAACTGGTTATAATTGCCTGACCACTGTCTCATAACTTAATTTACAACTGTTTGTTACATCTACTATTTTGCATTATTTATTCTCAATTGGTTTATTACATGGGGAAGAATCACTTTGCAGGATTCTGCACTGCATTCAAATAGGGAAATGGTCCCTAGGCCATTTCTCTGGCTGTAAGATTTTAACTTTTCTGCAGTTTTAAGAATAAGTGCTGAAACACTTTCAAGCATACTTCCGTATGTCTTAAAGTATAGAAAACTGAGATTTTCAGTAAGCTGACATTTGCATACAAACCATATCCTACAATTTTTTTCACTCCTGATCCCCGAAAACTCCATGAGCTGACTATCCCATTACCTCTTCCTTGTGGATGACATTAATGCGGGTTTTGATGTAGGGGAAAGCATGAGAAGTGGTGAGCAGAGTCTTGCGCTTGAACTGCTCATGCAGGTCACCATGTGCTCGTCCATCCAATGTGAAAGGGGTACAAAACATGAAAGTGCGCAGGTTATAGTTCTTGTCAAAATATGTGACACGGTCCTTCAGTTCGTATGTGTCAAAGAAAGGCTCCACATAAGTCAACTGGATGTATGCCTGTGACAAGACAAGACAGGGGTCAGCATCCTTTCACCACTATTGTATCGGGCACTTGCTTGCTTGAAGTTCAGACTATCATTTGAACAAGGACAAGTGAGTGAAGAAGAGAACGTTTTCCCCCAAACCAGCATTGGTTTCCTGGAGGAAGGAAACAGGACTAGCATTCTCATAGCCTTGCCATTTCAGCAGTCTATAGACAAGATATGCATTTTGCTGTGGAAAGAGAGCAGAAATCTTAAAGGCATTTCCACTGTGGTATATGTAGTATGGAAGAAGAAATGTGGCAAATCATTTCTTCCCTAGAATGCCACACTAGAAATATTTAGGAATTGCTATGCCTAGAGATCCACAGCTTCTTCCTGCTGAATCTGTCATATAGTGTCAGATCAGTTGGGGCAAATGTCCTCTTGGTTTAAATATACAGTCCAATCATAGAATTGCAATGTCTAATACCATGCACAGTAGAATCTACCTTATTAGGATCCAGCTTGGTCTTGTCCACAGGATTGGAGCCTTTGATAATTTCCACCATTTCATGCCCAAAACGTTCAGCATAAAACTCCTGAAGGGAAAACAAAACAGGACAGTTTTGCAAGGCATAAAGGTCTGAGACCATTCTGGATATCTCAGGCCATCAGTACAGAATGAGGGTTAACCCCATGTCCAATGGTAAGAGAGTTCAGCACTACCCGCAGGATCAGTTTCCTCATCCCTGGCTTAAAGCATCCAGTTGGTAAGGTGGAAAGAGTTCTCCTGTCGAAGCTTTCATTGCGAATAGCTAGAACTCCCAGCCCTACGAAATAGGTAACATTCACCAACAAAACTAACTACAGAGCCCCAGCCTCTTCCTTTATACTCACCCTTCTTTCTTCTGCTCAGTGAAGTGGTTCCCTACTTAAACTATTCTTTATCTGCTGTAGGTATTTGCAGTGTAACAATGTTACAGAAGAGGGGGATGCGGTGGCGCAGCGGCTTAATGACGCTGAAAGTTGCCGGCCAGAAATGGTCGACGCGTCAGCGGTTCGAGTCCAGCCTTTGCGTTAAACAGGGTGAGCTCCTG